TATAGTTTGGGATTGGGCCTATGCGTGCCGGCTGCATGATCGCACGCATGCACATGCATGCGCACTCGGGAAGACTGGATGGGGATGGGTTACTGCTCGATAGGTCCCAGGTCGTAAAAGACTGTCGTACAAGACTTTATTGCACAGTCGGATCTGCGTTTTCTGTTATGGGGAGTCACTGCATTCGAAGCCGGCGAGATGTCCGTGTTTATGCAACCCCCTAAAATTCTCCAAAGTTGGACAAACTCATTAATTAAAAAAAATAATAAAACGAATTCTGAATGTCAGTTGTATATCATATTTAATAAAGATGTCTCTGTATTCAGGAGTTGAATATTTGGTTCAATATTGGGGAGGTGAGGTTGCCACCATGGACGTAAATTCTGGGGGGGTGGGGTAAGTATTGGCTGGATTTGATTATTGGGCAGGTGACACCCCCTATACTGTCCATGTCTGCATTCATTAACGTACTTTTCACAGAGTGCTAAAATTAACAGGAAATGCAACTTACATGCTCATTTCTATCTAAACTCTCAGTGATGCATTTTTCCTGTTTCCTCCAAAACCTTCGTATGACTGCTCTGGGCCATTCGGAAGTGTGCATGTTTTGTTTATTCATTTGTAAATCCCAAAATTTTTGCATAAATGAGTAGGAATGTTTCACAGCTATTTTCTTTATACAAAGCCTTTATAAATGAGCCTCTTGACTCCATGAAGACCCCCGGCCCCCCGAAGCATCCGTTCGTCATACCTGTTTTTTATGTGCTGTTCCTTAACTTGGGGTGCCTCACACATAACAGCGTTATTAAGTAGCCTGCGTTTGTCGCACCGACAGTATCTCTATTTTCACCTCTTCGCTTGCACATCAACATCAAGACCCACTTATTGCCCATTTGCTCTGACTTTTTGAGCTATTAACACTCCCCCAGCATAGATACGCCGTTAAGAGTTTGATTTTTTTGTAACCCTAATTCACCACGTAACAAATGCTGCACTAAATCTTTTCATTTTAAAAACTTACCCACAGAAAAAAACAGCTGAAAGATGTTGCTCCTACTTGTTAAAAAATAATTTCTGCCCAGTTTGTTTAATACCTCTGTAAGCACAGCTGCTCAGTCACCAAAACCTGGTTTCAGATGCATCCCAATCAGCTCATGTCAACCACTCCAGATTCAGGACACCCACGTCAAACAATTACTGTTACAGCAGCATATCCGTGCTGGTAAATAAAAATTCTGTATGCCTTGATAAAAACATTAAAAGATCTGTAATCGCCTTCCCTCACCAGATGTACAGTAAGCTGCCGCTGCAGAGGCTTTCGGGATACGACCCGCGCCTGAAGGATGAAGTGAGCAGCTTCCAGGCTTGCCACAATGATATATACAGCGTCTTCAAGGTGAGTCCGTCTCGGCTCCTCTGCCAGCCCCATTTGTAGTCAGATGTCCATCACAGAACCGAGGATATTTAACTCTGTAAGCCTTATTGCTCTTTAAGAGATATGAGGTAATTAATGTGTGTCTCGTGTAACCCTGGTTACTGTGTCCCATTCATTAGTCTAGTTGACTATGGGATATATGTTAAATAAATAATTATACTCATATAGCTCATATGACACAGATAGAACTCTTAATATAACTAAATAGATAAATTCATATTGTTTCTTATGACATGAATGAGTTGGATAGGATGAAAATAATAAATAAAGAATAAACACACACAAATATGTATTCACATTCTCATGAAAGGGCTTTTCATTTTATAAAAAAAAAGGGGAAAATGACTAATGTGCTTTTCCCGACTGTGATAGAGACGTAGGTGATATGGAGTTCATATGCTCCATTTTTAAAGAAAATGGAGCATATTACATTTTTAAAGAAAAAAAAGTACTTTTTACTCCTTAAAATTTTATTTACATTCAAAAAGTAA